AAGAACTGGTTGATGAGCGATAAAGAATGTACTATAATCTCAAGAATAACGTTTTAACATTTTTCTTGTTTTTGAGTTTTACAAAATTTTTAATTTTTTCAAATGGCAACCCTCTGTAAAACATTTTTATAAAAGCTATGATCTGAGGAATATAATCATTCATATTTTATTCAGTTTTTATTGTTGTTATATTATAGTTTATTATGAATTAAGCTAAAGTGGTCAAAATATCCTTTAATTTGAAAAAAATCATCAATGAATTTTTCCACAGTTTTAGTTATTAAAAAGGGATGTTTTGGTTGGTAGATAAAACTTAATTTGATACTAGAGGTTCGAGAAATAATTAAAAGAAATATGTTTAGTTTACAGAATCAGATCTTGTAGGTATACAAAGGGTTTCAAAACTCGTGGTCTAAAGAAAAATTCCAAGTAAGATAAGAAACCAGGAACATAAAAAAGATGTTTAAAAAATTCTATCTATCAAAAAAGGTATAAAAAATTTTACAATATAAGCCAAAAATAACCTTAAACATAGTTACAATTGTCTGAAAATAAAACAGAAATAGGGTCAAAGTCCAAACTTAAGTCCAAACTTAAACTCCCATAATTTCGAATTTTTTTAGATAATTTTTTTCTATGTTTCTGGCATCTTATCTGAAACACCCTGTATGCAGCCGTCGAAAATATTTCGGTTTTTCTCACAATTTCCAAAAAATGTAACAATAACGAACTGTAAATATTCGCGAAAATTTCTGTACTAGTTGCATAGCTAATGAATATAAATTTAAGCAAATTCCCACACCTTGTAGATAAACCTAACTGTACTTAACACATAAAGATTTGTCACGAATGATTTAATGAATGAAAATTTTTTCCTCGCTCCAGAATCAATATTTATTAAGATCGTCGAACCGTTCTAATTGCATTTTCCGAATGTATTGAAGAAATTATATCAGAGTTGTGAAACATTAGTGCAAATTTTTCGCTGTCAATCTTTGAAGACGTTTCAAAACGGTTTTATAAAAACTTCGCTATGAATAATTTATTAGCGTTGAATTTCGTTCACAACTTAACGCTTTATTAGTCAATAATTGGCCGTATTTAAAGCAACAATTACGGAATTACGCAAAAAATCCTCTTCGGCCAATTATAAATTTGCGTAATAAATGGCGTAACTCAGCATCTTGAAGATGGAGCAATTGCTGATTAATGGCCGAACTGTAAATGAGTCATTACTGGGCTAGTAGTACCGAAAATTGGCCCGATTTGAGTCCCATTGATATGTTGTGGGAGGAACAGGAAGTTGTGATATTTCTTTCACAAGATCGTGGTAGGCTTCGACTTTCTTACTTTCACTAATACCCTTTCTAATCCAATCAGATTTTGGCCGGACTTTTGGCCAGATCTTGACCCAATTGACTTGAGAAATGATCTAATTAATTATGATTTTTTTAAATCCGCTGTCGACATTTGTTTTGAAACGCGAATTTGAATTTAGTGTCACTCTTCGCAATTATTGCGAAGACGTTTCAATAAAATAGAAACGAAATTAGCTCGTGAGTACACTGAATACGAAAAATTCCCACAAAATATTAAGTAACGCAATGGGAAGACGAGTCTTTGTTTGAATTTAGAATGATTTTTATAACATGCGAACGGCTCGTTCCTTGCATAATCGATCCGGGGACGTTTCCGGTTAGCCGGAAACGTATTTGTTCATGTACAGTTATCGATAGTTCACAAATCCTTGCGTCATGATATAGGAAGTCATCACATTTCAGCGAAAGTTTGCTTTATGCAATGGCAGCCATCTTCAATTCCATCATGGGTGTGGGACGGGATTAGTGACCTTGTGGATGGTAATGTAATATGGAAAAAATGTCCCAAGGAGTGTCAATAACACGTTGGTGACAACGTGGACCCAACAAATGGCGGGTTATGTAAACAACGCCATTTTTGCAAATGGCGTTATACAACACCACAAAAAGCATGCATTGAGATAAGGCCGGCCTTGGATTTGTGCATGGCCTACTGAATCAATTTTTTTGGGGGAGAATTGTCATTTTCTCCTCACCTTTTATTTCCGCTAATAATCATATTTCGTCCATAAACCAATTATTTACTTTCATTTTGTTGCTTAAAAGCGAAACCAGGCTGCAACTGACATTTGAAGAAAGTGTCACTAATAGCAAAAAATACCAAATGACATATATACTGTGGGAATCCTTTTCTCGGGAAGTAGGTTTCGGTTATAAGACAAAACAGTGTATTAGCTGTAGAAAAATCATTTTTCGTTACGAAAGAAATGTAAATATTGCATTTTGCATAAGAGTCAAGGCCGTCCATTGACAAGGGTGGTCGTTTCGAATGTAGGCATAAATTATGCAAAATCTGTGGGCAGTGAAGCAGATACTCAAAATACAATTCACAGAAGAGGCGAGAAATGTTTTTAAATTTAAACCGATATAACAATACAAGATTCGAGAAATATTGCGGTTTGAGATTTTTCGATTGACAAAGCGGTGAAAAGGTGTAGCAAATGTGACGAGATTAGATGCTAATACGATTAGGATTGTATGGAAATGTCAGGAGAGTTTAATTTTGTCACAGAATAAAATTGCAACAATCCAGTTTTTTGTCACAATACCCGGAATTCGTACCAAAATCCTTGAATTTTGACATTTTAAAGTGGATTTATAACAGCTTAGAGAAATAAAGTGGAATTTGTGAAACAAAAATTATCCATTTCTACAGGATGAGTCATTAGAGTTGTTTTTTTTTTTTGATTGGGAGAAAAGCTAATTAATGAGAATTTAATGGTTAGTTGGACCTCACAATGTAAACGTATTATTTTGTCGTCAATTTTTCCTGTTTAGGCGGAAGTGTAGCAATTTCTTAATAAAAACTTTTGAGTGGGTGTTAACCTTTCTTCCACAACTTACAACAACATACAATTAGCAAGTTTTGTTTTTATGTAACACCCGGTATATTTTTGACAATCATTTAACTACTACTTGGTTTTAAACTTACAATGAGTAAGGAAAAAACTTATTTTTTATTTTCCTTGTTATCTTATTCAAATATCATGTATAGTTTCCCCAGTGTTTTTTTGATTTTTTTGAAAAAACATGTAAACTCAAAAAAGTAGAATTTTTTATGTTGGAAAATCACTCATGAGCTTTATTAAATTACACAAAAAGTATATTTCTGTTTAATTGTAACATTTTTTACGATATTTAAAAAGTCCAATCTATTGAGGAAAAAACTATATTATCTACCTACATTGTCTTGATGACGCCGGTTTACTCTTAGTTAGCGAAATACGTATCGATATTTTTTAATAAAAAAATTTATTGTGTTTGAGATATTTATTATCGAATTATAATTAATATACAGGGTGCGCCAGAACTCGCGCCTTAGAGAAAAATGCCATGTAAGGTAAGATACCAGAAGCATGCAAAAAATGTTAAAAAAAATTCTATCTACAAAAATTTCGAAGGTATGAGAGTTTAAATTTTGCACTTTGACTCTATTTATTTCTGTCGGAAAAATGATTTCCAAGTTTTTTTGCTACAAGCTATTAGAAGAGAAAACAAAAAAAATGTTTCTTTGTTTAATGTTATTTGTGGCTTTTATTGGCAAAATTTGTGAACCTTTACTAAATAATTATAAAAAAAAACATATACAAGATTGTCAGTATCATTAAATAGACATAAAAATGACAAATATCAAAAATAAATGTTCAAATTTTTTAAACATATTTCCCATGTTCCTGGTATCTTACCATTCTTGAATTTTTTTTTCTGGTGCGCAAGTTCTGACACACCCTGTATATTTGTAGAGTTAAAAACCAGAGAGGTTTAAATAATAAATAGAAAATTTTTTTTTTATTAGAAACACTGATTTTTGTTATAAAAAAAAATTATAGACAACATTAAAATGTACCTAGTTTGTTTTACTCAAAATAATAGTCAAGTAGCACTTTAATAGCAAGCGTATATAAAATAGTTCTTAGTTTGTCTGAAAATTATAATATTATAAATACCAATTGCTGCTTAACATACGAGTTTTTTAGTCATTAATTTTTGTGAATTAAAAAATGTTTAAAAAATTGAGACATTGCATTAGGTATTTTTTTATTATTTGCATTTTTGAGTGAATTTATATTTAATTAATTTACAGCGTGACAGATAAAAAGCGACATTTTAGTAACTGGTGGAATAAAATCATTGCAACAGAGAGAAATTAAATTTACGATTCAAATTTTCACAATTTATGTTTTGCTTCGGTCTTCAGTCCAAAAAAGGTCGCTCTATTTTCTACCCACACTGTACATTTTTCACATCCATTATCCATTAGCGGTACCAAAAATAAACCACCTTAATGGCACCTGAGTGTTTTTGTTATCAGATGAAAAACACCACCCACCCAAGTTTCGCCGAATCATCATTCAGCGACTCACTTTTTTTCCGAAAATATTTGCACCAACCGGAATGAAAACCAGGTCACAAACAAGTCCTAAATAACAAATATCGGCATTTGCGAGAATAGTAATAATGTGAAATGCGTTTCTGCATGACGAGTTTTCAATTTTTTCAAGTATTTAAAAAGAGTGACGTCACGGAAGCCCCGGAACGTTATATTCGTACCTAATTTAAATATAATTGCAAGTCTGTATTAAAAGTTACGGTATGTCTTCCTGAAGCGCATCGCCTGCTTGATTTACTAAAAGACTGTCATTTCGAGGTAATTCTTTCGTAATGAAATTGAGGAATTGAGGCACAAGAAGCGACCAAAACTCCTCAAGTGTAAAGATTGAAACGGTTGGATTGGAGTTTTTGTAATGTTACATCTCGAGTACATTGTCGATTTTTACATAATTGAAATAAAAGCGACAGGTGTTGGGTAATTTGAACGGTACTCAAACTTAATTTATCTGTCGTTAAATAATAGTATAATTGGAAAACTGAAAAAAATTGTCGCAAAATTTCAGCACTTACCTTCACAACACAGTAAAACCGCCGCAAAAATCAGGAGAAAACTCCTCCCCTTCCTCGGCTGTAACATTTTCACAATTGCAAAATCACAAAATTGGTGCACTTTTCACTCGCAAAAGCTCACTTGAATTTTCTCATATTTTCGCGCCTCACGTTGCGTTCAAGTCACTCACTTTAACACCGCGCGAAGTCTTGCCTTATACTGAAGAAATAAGTAACTGTCTTCAGCTCGCTGCTAAACACACGCTCACCTGTATTATTGAAAAGGCTCGGAGGTAGAAAGCTGTCGGTAATCAAGTATGTATGATTTGGGTAAGACGAGGAATTTCGGACGAAAAGTCAATGAAATTTGGGTCAGAAGGAAAATCGATTGAAAATCGTCTTGTTGGTAGCCATGAGATAATCGAAAGAGGACAAAAAAGTGGATTTTACCGAGAAATAAATGCAACAAACCTTAATTCGAAGGCACGGCAAGGACTCACTTTACATATCTTGCAAAAATGAGCGATTAGGAAAGTTGAATATTGCTCGGTTTTAGTGCCTTGGCATTTAAAAGCGCTTTTCATCCCTTATCGGGGATAACTGTGATTAATTATGGTTAATTAGGAAACGCATTGTGTGTGTTATTTAAATAAATACATTTTTAAATTGTAATAGACACTTCTTTGTGTGGAATTGCATAAAAGTCTCATTATGAAATTGTGAATGCAACATCGTCCAATGACTTTACGAGGGTAAATAGTTCAATATGGACGTAAAACAGTTGAAAATCGTCGTTAATCGCACATTGTTTTATGAGAAAACAACGCAAAAATAAAAATTTGTTCATTGCAACTTATTGCAAAATTTTTAGAATTATTAGAAACTCGTTTTGAAGATGTAGATAAATCGCAACATAAAATTAAATAGAAACTTTGGTGTTTTTATGAATTTCAGCCATAATGCAGGTCATTCAGTTAAAAATGATGAGATGTAACTTTAATCACTTCCAAATAAAGTTATGTATAACGTATCCTTGCAAGGGCCGTACGAGTACATGCCGTAAATTATGCAATAACCTGCCGCACTAAGACATAAGTAATTACATAAATTTATTAATTATGCAAATTGGGTACAATTTTTACTAAATATAGTTTATTTACTTGCAATATTATCATTCCATTCATTACATATGCGATCACTCAAAGAGCCTAAATGTTATAGAGCAGTTATACCGGGTGTAACTTTAATAGTAGCAAAGTTAGTTTTGTTTCATTTTATTTATGTTCGATTGTATTATAATTAATGATTTATGATATCGTTTAGCGTCCATAAAGTAGCTCTTTATGGACGCCATTTTTAATGATAAAGTATTCAAACTTCGTAACCAAAGCAACAAAAACAACACGCTTCGGAATTATCATAATTTTTAGTATCTATTAATTTTGTGTCTAGAAGAAACTTAACGCCATAATCGAAAAAAAAGTTCTGTATGTAATTCGTACATAAGTAAGCTTTATGGACGCTTGCAAGCTTGCTCTGCCTAAGCTATAGGCCTCGTCTATAAAGACCTATAATATGAACTTATAACATAAATAGATATTTTTTATTTGCAATTTTAAATAAAAAATTATTATACATTTATTGCATCAACTGATTTTTTGCTTTCTTTTTTCATTTGTTGCGAGTCGAATTTATGATAAACGCCATAAATTTTAAAACTACTACCTTGATAGAGTTTTATCGTGAATTTTGTTGTGAATTTTTCGATTCAAACATTATTTATAAGAAAATTAAGTACTGCGATATCAAACACTGTTAAATGTATCATTAGGCAAAAAAACCTGGACATTAAGTTATAATTAATTCAGTAAACGTGAAAAAAGGTAACTATACAAATAAACAATACAAAAATTTAAAAAAACATTTTTCTAATTGAAAGCTTTACGCATATCTATGAATTTTTGTATTTACAAATTTTATTTTAATTGGAAAGGGCTTTTTTGGGGGGTAATACCAAGTATTAAAACAAAAAGAAAAACAAATGATTTTTTTTATTTTTTCTTTAATAAAAAAAATCAAAATAAATGAATAATTTTAAAACACCTACGAGTATTCACAATAAAAAATTTAAACACAATAATTTTATCGTTAATGAAATGGTAGGCAACCAACTCTACTAGTCAAGTGAAATGATTCCATAAACGCAACTTTTACTGCAAACATAGAAAATTAAGATAGATAACACATTATACACTATTTTTATACAGGGTTATTATAAATGATTCTAACATCTATTTACTTATTTATATCGAGCGATCAAGATAATTTGTTATCGAGTCATTCTTGGATACGAAAACGTATGTCTGTAAAAAGTCAAGTAAAATGACATGATCAAAAAGGTGATGATTATAATAACCAAATTTATAATTTATATTAAAAAAAACGGTTCTACTCGTATTATTATACGACAAATTCCAACCCATTTTGCCGTTTTACCTTACGACTCGTCATCTTATTTGACGTTTCCCGTGAAGTTAGACATACTTTCTTGGAGGCAAGACTACAAAATTATACGATTGAAGATACAATAAATTCATGGGGATACAAATTATTCAGAGTCATGAAATATACCTTACAGTAAAATGTGATAAAATAATAATAATAATGGGTACCGAATTAAAAAAAAACTGCATCCCAGACTCGCACCCGTGACAACTATATCTATTTCGCGTGTAATTCGGCAGGTGGCACAAACGCAAAGGTTAGGTTTTCTATTCGAAAATCCAACACTAAATTATTGTCGTTAGAATGTTTTCCAAATAAGTAGGATAAGGAAAGTCATGTGATGTTTACACCAGATTTTTTTACTTGTGACCAGATTTTTTGTATGATTTTTAAAGTTTAACGAAACCTAAATTTTGAAACAAAACGTAAGAAATGTTAACTGTTTAGGTTAATGAAGAAGATAATATTCCAATTTGGCTTACAAAAATGAGAATCTTGCCAAATTAATTCAAAAACTAAACCATCAAAATATCTTCAGATTATAAATGAATTCAATAAATTAAAAGGCGGCAATTTTTTTTGTTTTCTATGGTACCATTAGAATCATTTATAAAAACCCTATACTTGTTGTTTACAAAAAAACGAAAATATGTATGTAAATTTTTCATAAATATAGAAAAGGATTGACTTTTAGAATGAAATGTAATAATTCGGAAACTACTTCAATTTGTTGAATGTAAAGTATTTGTCAGGTAGTTTTTTTGTACAATTTTTTTGGGAAAATGTAATAAAACATTGCTTTTTTTGTTATTCCGAAGCTTTATTCAAAAATAAAATAACACATTACAAGAACACAACAAGTCTTACCAACTACGTACAATTAATAGTATTAATGATGTACAAATCATAGACACAAAAATAACTAAATTACAAAACACGAGCCTTGACAATTAAATTTAACTTCCGTTGTCATCACCCGTGATCGCCCCCAAAGATCGCCTCGTTTTTCCTCCTGTACCAATCGGGCACTTGCCCATCATCAAAAGCTCGTGGACTTCGTGACGTGACTCGAAACTCAGCAGGAGGAATACTGTAACATTTACAAACACAACACGACGGAAACCGAAACCAATCCGAGAAAATGCCGCGACATTCATTATTGGGGTCGTAGGCGAGGAGTCGATGAAGACGGTATTGCTGCTCACAGCGGCACCCATCTCTGCAGTACATCTGGCGGTGCTCGTGGGTGCACTTCTCCCAATGGACGTACTGTTCGAAGGGGTACATGTTGAGCAGGGCTAGGACTTCGCCACGAGTGTTGTTGGCCCAGAATGGGGCCACCACTTCTTCTTTAACCGGACAAGCATTCCTAAAACAAAACTTGTTAAATAAAAAAAAACTAGAGGATTATTATTAGAGACTTACACCCCCTTCATGTGGTAGTTAACTTGCACTTTATGACTGTCTTTGTCTTCCATGTCTTGGAAAAGGACAGTTTGGGGGCTGCTCTCGCTCGCATCGGTCTCGGTGGGACTACCGTTGGTGGTTTCGGTCGTGTCACTGGTTACGGTTTCGGTTGTGGTGGTTTCCTCAGTTGTGGTTTTTGGGGCTTCGGTCGTGGTTGTGGGCCGAAAATGCGGTGCTGTGCGCAAGTCGGCGAGTTTTATACTGAGTGTTGGCTCTTCCGAATAGACAAATTTTGTGTTGAGGACGTCGTCGTTACTGATGTCTTCTTCACGCAAAAAGCGCGGTTCGGTGTCCCGAGTTAACTCATTGTCGGTGTTGAAGTGGAATTCCTGCTTTGCCCACCCTAGAAATCGTCAAACTTGAAAAAAAATACTCAATTTTATGGGCGCCGACTACATGGGTGCATCGGGGCATCCGCTGAAATTTTATATGGGTGCGTGGCACCCATTGAAAATTGAAAATAATCTAGCTACCTTTGCTTAAGATAAAAAATAATAGTAATAACTCTTAATTATATTTGAAATTTCGTATTTATTCTAATTTTTTTTTAGTAACGTTGCATTCTTTTAATGTCAAAGATGTCTTAAATTTTCTATTTTTCTATTTTCTCTTTCGAGAAAATGAATCAAACTCATCGTTTATGTTATTCTATTTTGTTTTTCTATTTTTTTATTCAAAATTAGGTGAAAAACTACTTGAAAAAAGATTTCTTATTATCTCAAAAACGTTAAAGCCACAAAACATTTTATATAAACCTTTTATTATTCCAAAAAATTTAGAGAACAAAAGAATTTCTTAGATTTTTTGATGATTTTTGAAATATTGTACCTCAATGAAAAATGGTCGTATTTAGATTAAAAAAAATCCTTTTAAAGCTTCAAGTTTCTAGTCTTCAAATCTTTTGGCAAAAAATTTTCTGAGCTACGGTTATTACGTAATCCTAAGAAATAGGGCGAGAAAACAATTGTATTTTTTCATTCTTTTTTTTGGTCCACGGACTTGGAGAAATTTTTATTAATTAAATCAATCATGAGTTTATTAATTAAAATTAAAATCATTAGTTCATTAATTAAATCCGACATGAGTCGGATAGATTGTTCATTCATCTTTAATTTGCTTTTTTATGTTCTTTTTACATCGATTTGTTTCTGAGATATTTGATATTTAATGAAAAAAGATCTTTTTGTCTTTAGTCATTGATATCTCAGCAACCAATAACCACAGAGAGAATGTAAGGATACTCGTAGTCTCAAAAACTAGAAAAATTAGAACAAATTTACAATTTAAAAAAAAAAATTACTTGCAACATTGATTTAAAGAAAAGAGAAAAAAGTAACTTTTTTGTTGTTGTAGTAAATCTACCGCGTATTCACAAGTATTGATGGGGAAACTAATATGTCATTAGGTTTTTTATAGCCCAATAGCTCTAAACTGTTTTCTCAGACCGATTACAAAGAATTAAAGGAATTAATTGTTTCTGAACATTGTGTAATTTTTATCAACATGATAAAAGCATTTTTTCACCTTTTTCTACAATTTTGAATGTTAAATTTAAAAAAATCCAAAAAATAAAAAAAAATTATATTTTTGAAAATGTAAAGAATTAAAAACCAATACTGATTAATTTTTGAGACCATTTATTTACCTTTTGTATACCTCAATTTTACTCATCTCAAATTAATTGCATTAATAAAAATTGATACCCCCAAGCTGTATTCAGCACTTGATTTACGAACATTCATGCAAATTTTCAAAAAAAGTCATTTTTTAATTGTTTCAATTTTTTTTTCAAATTCAACAGTGATATATTATTTTACACAACTCATCAACTTGAAGCATTTTGCAACTTTTAACATGTACTATTTTCTTGACACTTTTTGGCATACAGGGTGTCCTAGCGAATTGAAAAAGTCCATTATTATAGTGACCTTTAAAAAATTAAAAAAAAAATTGTATAGGACATTGATAGATACTAATCTAATGCATTACCTAAAATTATTTTCAACCACAGCACGCCCCAAAAATAAGTTACGATACAAACTTGTGTTTTTTTAATGAAACACCATATATTTCTTTGCATTTTTGGATGTAGCCTTTTAAAACAATGTTTTTACGCTAAAACTTTTATTTGTCGATTTCGCTTAGTTTTATAAATAAGACGGTTCTTTTGACGAAAACATGCACGTTTTAAAAATGTATTACACAAAAACTAAGACAGTTAAAACAATTTTTTTCTTACTTCTGCAAAGAAAACAGTACAGAATTTAAAGCTGTAGCAATTTTTTAGTGTTTTGCATTTATAAAGATTAATAAACTGAAAAGTTTGTTACAAGAACACTCTATTTTTTATTTTTCTTCCATCTCTTGTGCAACTGTGCACTTTTTGGCTACAGTAATTTTTTTTTAATGTTTAACTTTAAATATCTTTTTAGTTATTGATTATTAACACCTAAAAGTAAATAATTTTAAAAAGACAATTTAATATTTTTTTAAATTATTAAACTTTAAACAAACGCTTCCATTTTTCTATCTTTGCAAATACAAGACACTAAAAAAATTATACAACTTAATAGCTTGTACCTTCTTCTTTGCGGTAGTAAAAAAATATTTCTAGATGTCTTAGTTTTTGTACAATAAATTTTAAAAAAGTGCATGTTTTCGTCAAAAAAACGTCTTATTTTTAAAACTATTCAAAATGGACCAATAAAAGTTTAAATTAAAAATCTTGTCATAAACATCTACATCCAAAAACGCTAAGAAAAATATGGTGTTTCATTTAAGAAAACACAAGTTTGTACTGTAACTTATTTTTGAAACACGCTATATAGTTGAAAATAATTTTAGGCTATGGACTAGATTAGTATCTAGCAATGTCTTATATGATTTTTTAAAATTTTTCCATTTAAAGGTCACTAATGGATTTTTTCAACTCGCTGGGAAAACCTGTATGTTATTTATAGATTTTTTTCTTTTGTATTATGCAAAAATTTATATTGTTTTTAAATTTTCCAAATATTAAATACAACAAATTCAGCAAAAGTAGCGAAGAAGAAATCGATTATTCGCGTAATTGTTCTCAAGTCCGCAAGTTATACCAATTTTTTTGTTTATGCACCCATTGAAAATATGAAAAGTCGGCGCCCATGCTCAATTTATCAATGAATTACTTTGTCTGTCTGTAATTGACTGCAACTCCATGTCGTCCAGCTCCGCTTGCAGCACTTGTCCGTGTCTCTGGTCCCCGTACATCCTCCTCATCAACCCCTGATTCTCCCTCACGAATCGTTTAACAGCGTGCCAGGGGTAGGCCGTCCCCGCCGAAGTGCAATATCCTGATGTTAAATCGCACGGTGGTCGGTGCATTTTCCCCGAGCGGTATTGTCTCCCACAAGCCCCTTGGTCGCCCCCTGAGTCGAATCCGTAGGCAAGACAGCGACGGGCGTATAACTGAAATGACAAAATTAAAATTTCACTTCTTTTGACCGGAAGGGAAAGGCGGTTATTAGATAGGCTCTTATAGGGAAAAGAAAGTTGTCGTCGACCTTCATTTTACGCTTTTTATGACCTCTAAAGGTTCATTGGCGGAGGTGAAATGAAGTTTCGATTAGGAAAACGCAGGAATTTTTATAATAAAGTATTTTTTATTAGGATTGTTATTACATTTTCATAATGCGGGTGAACACACGTCTATCTAACAGTCATAAATTCCAATGTCTGCTATCGCAGAAAACATTAAAAAATAATTATTACTTAATTAGACCACTTTCTGAAACCCCGTATGACACCTAAAAAACAGAATTTTAAGATTGTTTCACTGTTTGAGTGTTCTATAAGTGTCAACACTTTATCTGAGAGACAAGTTTAAATTATTACACTTTTATAACACTTAACACTTTAACCTTTTTTAAACTTATTTAATAGAAATAGTTTTTGAGACATTTTTGTCGAATTTTATACTCATAATTCAGCTTCTGGATCAGCTATCCTTTTCAGCACTCAATCCTGCTGTTGATGTAAAAATTAAAAAAATCTGTGACAAAAATTTCTGTTTTTTTTTGTCCTCATATTCATAATTAGTTAATTACAAATTCGTAGGCATAAATTTTTGTTTTTTTCCAGAACTTGATTGGTAAATAGTTTTTGGTTGTTTCAAAAACGATCAGAAATTGGTAAATATTTTCTTAATTTTATCTTAACTTTAAAAAAAAAATCTTTGTTTTTTGATCAAATACATATTTGGTGTCACAACTACAGTTTTATAAGTTAATAAAATTTATTGTCAAAATCCAAATATTATAAACAAGTTATCAGAAATTGAAAAATTAAAAAAAAAACCGTAGTAAAAGAGTTTAGTATTATTGCATCAATTTGCACAAAGCTTGATTTGCAGTTTTTAGGGGAATTTATAAAAGTATGATTTTTCCATAACTGTTTCGAGAAAAGATCAGATTTTTCTAACTTTGTCAATCTTATATTATAAGTTTTTACGTTATTTTTAACATTTGACTTTTGAAACGCTTTATAAGATATTTTTTTATTTAAATGAAAATTAACACAAGAAGAGAAAAACCGAAGATATTTCGTAAAGAAATAGTATATTGTGAGATTAAAAATATCACTTTTTTGGTGAGCGAATTTTTTTTTGGATGCAAAATTGCGAAAAAAGAACTTGGCACTTTTAAGCCGAATAAAAATTTTTAAAAATATTTTTTCTTCAGTCAACAAACATATGCGCAAAATTAGAAAAAAATTGTATATTGTTTTATTAGGATTAAAAGTATCAGTTTTTAAAGCTAGGATCAAAAAAAAAGTCTAGGATTAAAAGTGAGAATTATTGTTATGGAACAATTTTTTTTCCTAATTATAAAAAGGTCAATTTTATTTTTCAAAAATGATATTAAAAGTGACATGTTCTAATCTGACTGGAAAAAAAGTATTTTTTTAAATAATTTTTGATTTTGTCAGTTTTAATTAAATTTGAAAATTCTTAATTTTAAAGTTATATGTTACCTCAAAATTGCCGTTGTTTTTTATATACCAGGTGAATAAAAAGTATGGAACGAAGCGTTTTTCTCGTAAACTAACCACTTTACAAAAAAAATAATTAGTGTAGCGTAAAGTCCAACTAAAATGTGATCATTTATCAAGAATAACATTTTTCGAAATTTCTTTTAGTTTTCGGGTTTTAGAAAAAAAAAAATTATTTTAAATGCCAACCCACCATGATAATTTTCTTAATTAAAGATTATGATCTAAAAATGACCTTTAATTAAATAAAATTGTTTTTTAGCCAGTACTTTTTTTTTAATTAATTGTTAAAGTTGCGTTCCGAGCTCATCACAAAGATTTTCCGAACTTAACCGAAGTGGTTGTTTCATGCTTTTCATCATGGGAGAGCGCTGATTTCTTTGCAGGTGCTTTGGGGTGGTTTCGAATGGACTAAAAATAGAAGAAAATGATTTGTTTTTACATTTTTTGATCCATCCGGAACCACCCCAAACCAAAAACCGACCAAAGTCATGAAACGACTCCCTCGTTCAAGTTCGGAAAATCTTCGTGATGGGTTCGGAACGCAACTTTAACAATTTATTAAAAAAAAAGTACTGACTAGAAAACAATTCTGTTTAATTAGAGGTCATTTTTAGATCATAATCTTTAATTAAAAAAATTACCATAGTGGGTTGGCATTTAAAAAAAATTTTTTTTTTCCAGAACTCGAAAACTAAAAAAAATTTAGAAAAATGTTATTCTTGATAAATGATCACATTTTAATTGGACTTTACGCTACACTAATTATTTTTTTTGTAAAGTGGTTAGTTTACGAGAAAAACGCTTCGTTCCATACTTTTTATTCACCTGGTATATTTTTTTAATTTAAAAATCAACCGGAATAAGCAATGGAAAACATCCAAAATGACTCTTTCTAATCAATGAAAATTGTAGAAAAATTTATAAGTGATTTTTAAAGAAAGAATATTTGTTAATTTTTTTTTTCACTTTTAGCTAATTATATTTCCAGAAATTTGGCTTTTTTAAATTGTAATTTTAATGCTGAAGCATTTATTTTCCGGAGAATTGCCTAAAAAATGCTCCGTTAAGATGGTGGTTTCTTAAAATGAATTGTATTTGTTAAAAAATCACATTTTTTGAAGGTATGTAAAAAAATTGGCCGATTATATTGGAGATTTACTGATATTCTAATTTAAATCATAGACTATTTTTTTTATAAATTAATTATAAAAAAAAATCAGTCAGATTTTGTCTCGCATTTGTGATCAGTTGATATAAAGACAGTCAATAAGATTTTTTGGTATTTAGTATAATTAGAAAGAGATGTTTTGTGGGTGCAAATAAAAGTTGAGTCACCTGGTTATAAAATCAAGACAAATTGAAAAAAAAATAATTAATAGCAATTCTTATAATAAAAATTTAAATCTTTTACAATTAATCGTTTTGAAAAAACTGGTCACAGGTCATGCATACATTTTGCTTATTTGACAGGAAACCTAACGCAATTATTTACAGTTCATTTTTCCGGACTTACAAATTACATTTCTTATTTATTTTCCTCCAATAAACCGATTTTTAAACCTGTATCACTGTAAATTTAATCAATCACAAAGACATAACTGTATATTGCTTAGGATTCAATAAATCGATTATTTATTTATTTAGATTGCAATCAGATTTTTATCCTGACGTAAACTTAAGCTAGTACAATACACAGCCAAGGGGGATTTAGATTAATTCAAAAGATATTAAACATTAATTTGTAGTTTGGTCTTCCGAGACCATTGATCAAATCCAAAAATTAATGAATTGTGAAAGCAATAGTGCATCACATGCATAAAAACAAGAACGTCCCACTGACACACTTGGGACTTTTGTCGCTTAAATTTGCATACAAGGCCAAGGATTTAATTGCTTAAATAATTTTTTGATTCAATAAAACTTTTTGTACAATTTTCGTTTTGCAATTAAACCAAAAAAAAAAAAAAACAGTTCCATTATGTAAATTGCGTCACAGATGTGCAGAGACGCGGAGAAAGTAGAAAATTCGAATGTGGCCACTAATTGGGCAAAAGCATTAATTAATGGTCATTTGCGAGGATCACTCTTGGCCTACAGACCCAGACTGATGCGACAACGGTACTGTGTCTTTCCCACAAGACAATAACTCCTCAAGCCATCTACTTACAAGGAGTAAAATTAGACGAAACATCTCGCATTTGAGTCTTTTTTACACTTGGTCCAGCACAAGACACCGAATTGTCCGCATGGTCGCGAGACTTTTTTCTTTCAACCGAAGAACAAGAACTGTTGACCGACAGCGAGGTACCGGTGAACTGTTCCAAAGCCGAGACCCTCCTGTTTACGCGAGAAATGAGGTTTCTACTGTCAGATGCTCTTAACCGTAAGAAAAAGTATGGAGAAGTAGGTTAGAGGCAGTGGTGTAGGTGCGAGTATTGACGATAATCACTCCTCAATAGACGATTTCAATATTGCACCACGTGACAAGTCAAGAAAAATAGACCAATTTTAATGGATTTCATTCAGAAACTGCCTCCGCCTTTTCAGGCACCTAGTATATGACTAACATGTTTATTACTTTCTCGTCCATTCAATATTTGTCCTAAATTTTTCACGTCCCACGAGGGGTACATTTTTTTTTGTAAAAATCGAAATATGAAGCATTTCTTTATGAATATTTTTTTCGATTTCGATTAATCTCCGCGTTCGCTTTTAGTTCCTTCAATTTTCACGTCAATTTAGCAAGTTAATACATCCAGAATCATCAAAACAACTTTCTCTAAAAATGTACGGATAATTGAGACCGTAATTATTGATTTTTTTACTAAATGAGTAATAAAAACATTCAACGGAAACGTTAGTGTAGTTGTTACACGACTTTGATTTTGTAAAGCAAAGTTGTAAATACATAAAGTTGATTTCTAATAACGGTAATTTTATTAAATTGACACCTTCGAGTGTTTAGTTGTGTTGCATTCTTTGCTCGAGAAAAATGAGATACCAGGTGAGTTAAGTTTCTGTCGTATAAAAAGTGCTGTGTTTAATTAATCTGCAAAATTTTAATTGGAAAAAATGGAGCTCTTTTGGGGAAGAATTTTACAATTCTACCATAATTCATAAGAAAATAAGGGGTTAAATAGCAAAAATTAAATAAAAAATAAATAAGTTTACAATTTAAAATTTGGATAAATAGTTATTTTCGATACAAGGGCGCTGTCTAATGTTATTTTATTCGAAAAAAGTAGCTATAAATTTTTCTACAATTTCATTTTAATTAGAAAAGTTGTTTTGGCGTGTGCTTATAAAAATTGAGTCACCTGGTATATTACTTTGCAGGATTAGTAAAACAAGTTTTTTAGTTAGTTTGGATTTAAAAATAAAAGACAAAAGTAAAATTCAAATGTGTACAATGGCGGACACCGAATTTTGGACATCAAACTTATGTCAGTTCAAAAAATGTCAATATAAGCCACGCTTTATTGTTACTATGATTGACGTTTGAAACTAAAGTTTTATTTTTGGCGTCGATTTTCCGCAACAATAAAGCCAGCAATACGTGTTTTTAGAAAAGTTCAATAAATTATTTTGATTTGTTGTCATTTTTTCTCTAGCTGTCAGGACAAAAATTACAAAAACCAAATGTGAGGTTAGTTACCTAAGGCCCGTTTTACATTTTTATGTCAGTCGAATGACAAATCGTCCAAACTTCCGTGTCCGCATTTGTATTTGGTAAAAAATAAAACAAAATGGTAAAACACTAAAAACCAAACAAAATCGACAGTTTAACTGATGACTAGTTTTAACAAATCAAACAGCGTTTTTAAACGTTCCTGGTTAAATATTGTCAACATTCAATAATATCAAGAGCAGTAAATCTAAAACAAATATTGAAAAGGAAATAGAAATGATGCTTTTTGTAATTTTAAGCCCGCCAAAGTTTACAAAAGCGCTGCCAACTTCACAAAATAATTTCTAGTTTTAATTAATTTGATAAATTTATTTCTTGTATAATTTTGTTACTCTAATACAAGCATAACAAATTCACTGCAACATTTTACACTAATTAAGCAGAATTTATTTAAAAAATTGCTTTTATTGAAATGACAATTACTCAATTTGGTTGGCGTCCCTTGGTAAACAAGCGATATAACCTCACTTTAGTCAAAATCAAAATTTTCAAGTGGAGTGATAAAATGAACAAAGACCCGATTGTCCTAAGTTACGACGAAAGCCTTTTAAGAAAATCCGACGTGGAGCTCCTCCAAGGCCCCCATTGGCTCAACGACAACATAATTTCCTTCTACTTCGAGTACTTAAAAAACACCTTCAAACATGCCCCTCACATATTATTCGTGCCCCCTGAGGTGACCCAGTGTGTGAAAATAACCCCAAGTTCACAAATCGGGATATTCCTGGACCCTCTCAATGCCCGACATCGACGTTTTATATTTTTTGCGTTGAATGATAATGAAAGGCCTCAGGCGGTGGGGGGCACACATTGGAGTCTATTGTTGTTTTCACGGTAGCGTGGTGTAAGTTTGGTGAGGAAGGTTTGATATTTTGTGTTTTAGGCCGGAGAAAACCATTTATCATTATGATTCTTCCAGAGGGATGAATAGGGATCAAGGTGAGAGTTTTGGGCGAAAAATTTTCACGTATTTCGGGATCGAGGGGCAGTTTAAGGAGGAACGGGCGTTGCAACAGAACAATGGGTACGACTGCGGGATTTACCTAATCAGTAATGCTGAGCATTTGGCCAAACATATAATTGCGTACAATTCTGTTGAGGGGTTTGGATCAGGTGAGGATTTGGTGCACACTGTGGGGACAATGCGGAACCAAATTTACAATGTCATCGAACAATTAAAAAGCTAGTCAAACAGGAGAGAGATCTTTATTATAAAATTTCAACATTGAGTTATAAAAATAATGAATACTCTCATTGTAAATTGTATAAAATAATGATTAAAATAGAACGTGATACATACACACCAACCGTTACATTGTGTAAAACATTTATCAAATATAGAATATTCCATAAAAGGATTGGTACTTGAGCTTGGCTCTCTCAGTCACAAGTTCACAATACTGTGCTATCACTAAAAGGCATTTAGGCGTCGACTTTGGGGGGCACCCAGCCCCCGAACGCCTTCTCCAACTCCCTCGCCACAGCCAGACACAATCTGTCATTTTTCGTATTGGCCACCACTTGAACCCCAATCGGCAATCCCTCGCTGTTCAATCCCATGGGAATGTTGGTCGCGGGGAACCCCAGAACGTTAATGATGGCAGTGTAGCTGAAATTGAACGGCTTGATGAGCGGCTCGTTGTGGAAGGGGGCTGCTGTGGGGTGCGTGGGGTATAAAAACACGCCGTCGTCCCCGAGAAGCTCCTCCATTTCGCGTCGCAATTTTCCGCGTTCCTCCACCAGATAAGTGTGCTTGTCATCGCCGTACTTGCACCCCCCTTTATCAGCCAAAGCGGTCACAATTCCGATAAACGTGTGCTCCGACCGGCCGAAAATCCACTTTGTCAATTCCCAATACGGGTTGATCGAGCCTTGCAGATTGGCCAATTGCTCCTGGAACGAGGGGCCGTTGGGGCACTTCATATTCGCAAACCAAATGGGGCCACTCTTCTTAAACCTCTCAAGCGCCACCTTCTTCGTTTTAATCCCATGCGCCTTCTCCAAATGCACCGAAATTTTCGTAAAGAGTTGCTTAATCTCGGGATTGACCGGCGAGACTCCCACCGAGCCCCCATCCGAATCCTGGTAATAAAATTTCAATTTTTTCACATCGACGGGGTCGTCGAGTTTGAGTTCGGGGGCGTTTTTCCCAGCGATTACTCGCAGAAGGGGAAGCAAGTCTTCGGCGCGGCGACATATGGGGCCGATTCCCAGAAAACTGGTCTGTTCGGTTGTGATGGGGGCTGGGTATTGGCCATTGTTTGAGACTATGAATTTGGAGGGTTTGTGGCCGAAAACTCCGTTGAAAAACGACGGCATGCGGATTGAGCCCCCGATGTCGGAGCCGATTCCGAACGCCGAGCCGGCAGCCCCTTGGAGACAGCCCTCGCCGCCGGAGGAGCCCCCCACGATGTGGTTGGTGTTGTAGGGGTTGCGGGAGCGGCCGTGAATCGTGTTGGCGCTCTCCCACCTAGCAAGAATTTCTGATATAAAAATAAATTTTTAATTGCTGTGTTTTTAAATAGAAATAGCGGACGACCATGACATAATGCAGCCTATAATAAATTAACAATGTTAGAATAGCAATGAATGGGAATGATTTGACAATATAATTGTATTATTAGTTGCCTACCTAACACAAGACTATTATTGGTTGCCATAATTTTTCTAATTTTTTGTTTCAAAAAGTGGATTTTTACAATCAACGATGCTATTTATTGCAAATGTGATAATAATGTGCTAAACTAAATGTTTTTTTTGAAACTGAAAGACAAATAATGTTTCCAGATGATGATTTTTGGCGTTAGTGATACGTTATCACTTATTATACAAACAATTTGAATTTATCTGAAAAATTATGTAACAAGCAAATACTTATTGATTTTAATTTCCATTCTGACATAATAGTATTTATTAAAAATATATTTCATGTTTATATAACTTGGTAAGTCAATATTTGTCGTGCTTTTTTTGAGGATTTCACTACGAATGGAGTGTCACAACTCAATTTTATTGCCTCAAACACGTGGGCTGTAATAATACGTTCAAACATAAAAATAAATTAACCAGCAAAGTTTTGAATTTTATCGCAAATCCGATAAAAATGAAAATTTTTATGAGTCATAATTCTTGCATATAAAAAACTTGCAATTAAATTGGACTTTAGCAATTTTTGGCAAATTTAGAGTGACCTCAGTGTGTTAATCACAATTTTGAGTTTTATTTTCTTGTCAATAATTTGTATTTTTTGGTATTGGTAACATCTGTTGGGTTTAAACTAATTATTATGTTTTCTCATTATTTACACATTTAAAATTCCAGGTAAACAATGAAAGTGTTTCAAACGACTTTTCTATTATTAAAAACCTCATTACGATAACATCAAATAAACGTCCTTTCAATCGATTCCCATTAAATATTAAATACATTTCCACGGCATATATCATTCATTTTTAACCACTTTGCAATCTCATTATTATTTCGATAAGATTTGTATGTTTTCGCGATCCTTTCGTGTTTTACAAGCCGAAAATTGCCGAGTTTTGTGCTTTGGCCTTGGTGATGAGTCCGAGGGGTCAAAAGTCACTCGAGTGAGAAAATTACCACATGCAAAGCTCCGAAACGTTGGTTAGGGCTATGGGAAAAGCCCCAGCACTTTTGAGACAGGCAATTGCGTCGGCGTCTTCCGCAGCAATGCAATTTCTTCTTTTGGCCAATCCGGAAGTGTGAATCATTCCTGTGGAGTTTGAAAAATAGAACAGGTCGTGCGAAGGCCGAGTTTTACCCTTTACGGCGATGCAATCTTTGGTCGTGAAGGGGACCCCGAGGAAGGGCTTCTCCCGGGCGAGGGTCTCCTCGGGAATCGCCCCCGATTTGATTAAGTCGTCGACGGCTCGAGCCTCCTTGCGTGCCTCGTCGAATCTTTCAGCCACCACGCAGTTCAACATCGCATTCACTTCGTTTATTCGGGCGATGAAGGACTCGAGGACTTGGAGACTTGTTATCTAACAAGGATTTGCGTAATGGGGGGCTGAAAGTGGGGCTCAAACTCACTTTTTTGGTCCTGATTTTGTGCGCTATGGAAGAGGCCGATTCGAGGAGGAGGAGGTCTTTAATAGGTGGCATTTGCTGGCCGGAACCACAATAAATAAGTTTGAAAACACAATGAAAGAGACATTCCACCAGGCCATGCACTATCTTTATAACAGATTTCGCGAATTGCAACATTGTTACTATAAAACTTTATTAAAAACTGAGAAAAAACCACACACAACACACCGGACTACAAGACAACTAATTTTTCCTCCTGCGCGTAAATTGATATCCCCCACTTCACTGTCATCGACTGGAATAAACTGTGGTTATGAGCGAAGTGAGGTTAGATGGAGGACACTTCAAAATCGTTAAAAATTGAGGACATGAGTTAGAACGTGTGTGAAAAAACGTAAATGGTTAATCAGAAAATCGAAATGTTAACTCGTGACAAAATTTCCCCCGGAAAGGGTCAATAAATAACAAAAAACTACAAGGCTATAAAAAGTGAGGTTAGGTGATCTGTCAAACCGGCCAATTATTTATCAAAATTTCGAGCGATAACGTAATTATACCGTTGATTTCCGCCGACCTTGTTTAATCATTCATCCAAATTATCGATTGTTCGATTCGTGAGGTTCAATGTTATAACAGAGTTTCCGGGCCCCCATGACTTCGAAGCCGGGCAGTTCGAAAAGTGTCAAGTCGAATTCGGAGCCTCAAAGACCTGTGCCTCCGGTTTTGCGCGATGTTGGGAAACTTGCAGCAGGGGTCGCCTCAGTCAGCACCAGTTCCGGGGGATCCGCAACAGGTAAATAATTTGATTATTTCGTGGCTGGGTCACAGCTGCTTTTCCTCGCGTATTGATCTTATTACAAAAATTGTTTATGCTCGAAATAGATTGTTTAAAATTTCAGAGTCGCTGTTTGGGTAATTGGGTGATTTAATGAGAGTTTAAGTGGTTTTTGAGACAAGGGAAGTGTAAAGTGGGATCAAAGGGGACCCACAATTATTCTTTTAATTTGTATTCTTCTTAATAAGGTGACAAGTTGGTCAATAAACAAACAAATTCAAGTCAAGTTGAGAACACCAGTGGGCGTGTCTAAGGAAATTCCTATTTTCCCGTGTTGAAAATAAATCGTGCGTAAACTGTTATCCTTTGCAGACAACAGATTGCCTTTTGCTAATTTAATGCTCCTCGTTTTCGCGATAACAACAATCGGGAATCTTCTCTAATATGGCTTAATGTGTTGGCGCAAGTTCAGCCTCTGTGGTATCGAAAAGCTAAGCTGTTGTAAAGTTACTTATGGGGATTAGACACGCTTTGTTTTATATTTAATAAAAGGCGAAGCTTTTTAAAATTAGGTTTTAGCAGTTTCGAGGGATACTTTTGTGTATTTTTGCTCTGTACATAGATCGAAAGGTGATTTTGCACGAAATACTGTTTCAACATTTCAAAGGCACTTTAAGTACTTTCAATGTTTGTAGACTTTTATCTCTAAGTGCACACGAAAGTCACGGAAGGGTCTGCGTTTTATGTCGATTGGAAAATATTACCCGTGCATGTGTGTATTGAAAATAAAGGGAAAAATTGATATAAAATAGGATTTTGAACAAATGAAATTTAAATTGTTCAATGTACATATTGTAAACAGATGTAGCTTTTGTGAACGTAATAAATGGGAGAAAAACGCGTAAATTTATTGATTTATTCAGTTGTCGAACAACAGGAAAATATTGTTTGGAGTTTTGAAATTGTAATTTTTTGCAAACTTAAAAATACGGATCGAGTTGTGAGGATTCATATTGAGATTTATTAGAGAATAAGTGTTTTTTTCCTCTTTGGCGTATGTAAATACTATGTGTTATATACAAATAAGCTATAAATTTCATTAGATTACATGTTTTTTTACCCAAAATTCTTGGACTATTTTTAAAATTCTCAACAATTACGAGTACAAATATTATTACATGTCTATGTCTATGTCGATAATCCTGATAGTTAAAAATTTAATTTTTTAAAGTTCTGAATGTGTTTTTCTCTAAAACAATACTAAGGTTTTTTAAAATAAAAAAATAACTGGAAAATTATCAAAATGAAACGTCTTATTAACAAATCCACCAAAAAACGTTTAAAAAACTAACTGACATTTCTTCTTTTCTGATTTTGGAACAATGTGCTCAACCTCCTCAGGTATCAACTTCTCTTTTTTTTGTTCATTTTCTTTCGATTTGTCGATTTTGTGACTGATTCATCTTTCTTTTTTATTTTTTGTTTAAGCGTCCGGTTTGTTATATATTTTTTTCTCTCCTTTTGTGTTTCTCTTTAGAATTAATTCTTTGATTTCTTCAGTTTCTAAATTTTTGTTATTATGATTATCACCTTTATGTTATTTTCTTTTTCTTTGACTTTTTTCTTGCCTTGTCTGTTACATTTTTTACGCTCAATTTTTTGTTTTTTTTTTACTGTCATTTTTAGCTTCTAAATGTTGTTTTTTCATTACCACTTTTATGTTTCGTTTTGTTCCTCGATTTTCTCACCCTTTAACCGCCCTTTGTTTCGTTCATCATGTTTAGATCTCCTTTTTGGTCGAGTTTGTCTTTGTTGATTTCCAAATTTTTACCTTCATTTTCGTGTTTGCCAGTTAAGTTTCTGCTTCATTTCAATTTTTTGAAACTTTTGGCATTACTACGTGTTTTTTTTTCGTCATTTTTGGATGTTAAATTTTTTTACTGATTTTGTTTGCTCTAAATTTTGGTACTGTTTTCGGTCAAGAATCGAAAAAATTCCGTAGATTTTTCAATTTAATATCCCTATTGTTTTTAATCTTATTTCATAGTTTCTTAATAAACCATTTTTTGGTACTCCTTTAAGGTCAAGCAACACGTCTTTGGTTTGAAGGTATTTAGAAATAAGAAAATAATTCGAAAACTACTAAAATGGAACAATTTATTAGCAAAAATATCCACTAATACTTCTTCTTCTTCTTTTGTTCATCCACTAATACAACAAATTCAAATACGTTGGCAGAAAACGTTTCTCAACCCCGGTTGTCGGCTTTTTCCACTTTCTTCTTTCTTTGTACATTTTTTACTGATTTTCTCTTTTTTAGTCACATATTCATCTTTCTCTTTCTTCTTTTGGTTAAGCGTCCTGTTTGTTGTATTTTTTCTTTCTTTTCTTTTGTGTTTCTCGTTTTATACTTAATTTTTTGATTTCTTCTTAGGTTATACATTTTTTTTCATTATTATCACCATGTTTTTTTTTTGATTTTTGTGTTTTATACTGGTTTTCTTTTTCTGTTCAGTTCTTGGATTTCTTGATTGTCTTTTTTTCTTAACTTCTAAATTTTAGAGTTTCACTTTTATGTTTGTTTTTTTTTTTCGACTTTCACGCCCCTTCACCGTCATTTGTTTCGTTTACCATGTTTAGATTTCTTTTTTCTTGATTTCTAAATTTACACTTTCATTCTTACGTTTATCAGTTGATTTTTCCTCCTTTATTCAAATTTTTTGAAGCCTCAGCATTTATTACGATCTGTTTTTTTTTTCGTCTTTTTAATCATCATTTGGCATATTTTTTATGTAAAATTGGTTGTTTTTGCTTTCTTATTCATGTTTATTTTCAAAGCATTCGTAACTGTTTTTGTGACGATTTTACAAATTTATCATCAATTTTTCGGTCAAGAATCGAAAAAAAAATGTCTTCCTAGATTTTTCAATAGAATATTCTCCTCCCTTCTAATCTCATTTCAAAGTCTCTGAGTAAATGATTCCTCGGTACTCCTTTGAGGTCAAGCAAACTAATTAAATATCTCCTCAAAGTCTATCCTTCAATATTGAACTAAAAAGCTTCATAAAAACGTCTCTGACACGTTAAAGACATCCACCTTTCACCCCCACTGTAATTACACGTTCGTGGAAGTCATTACGTTGTTGACTCCGGATCTGTGTTTACTTTCATATTCAGCTCGCTACTTAACATCTCGACAACATAAAATTAATGAGGGAGGAGGCCCTAAGCTGTACATTTTATACATCGCTTCTCAACACGAAATAAAAATAATAAAAAGTGTCTTGGCCATGTTTATTGCCCCAAATTGTTTTAAATTGGTTAATGGCTCCTTTTCCGGCCACTTTAAGCAATTTTTGAAGCACAATACAATAGCGAAGGGTGTTTCCCATCAAACAACTTGTTTATGTTGTCGTAGGTGTTTACCCGGAACCTCCGGGGATAAAAACGTGACCACTTTCCGGATTAATTTCTGTATGCTTTAACAATAAAGCGATTTCCGGAGAAGACGCTCGCGAAATTAGATTATTGTCGAGATTCTTGAAGGGGAGTTTTAATCTTGTTTGAAATAATACGTCTAGGTGTAAAAAATCGCCCGGATTTTTGATGGCGATACATAAAAACCTATTTATGACGTTCTAACTGGACCGATAAAATTTTATAACCGAAATTGCGATATGAAAACGCGGATTAAGTTCATAAACACGTTCCTATTTAGCGTTTTCCGTTGAGTGGGCAAAGCCCTGGAGAAATGTGTGAATTTAATTTTATTCAGGCTTTGCGAAATGTGGAGGAATTAGATTTTGTTTATACTAATAATTTAGGGTCGTTTTTGAGCGATCGTAAACTTGCACGAACTGTTACTATTAACCTCTTTCAGTTCTAGTTTCTGATGGTTTTATTTTCATACTTTTACGGTTTGTACAGGGCAATAAAGTTAACTGTATGGAAATGGTGAGTCGTTTTGCGACAACGGTTCATCGTAAAATAAGTAAAATCGCGGATATTTCGGTGTTTGTGATACAAAATTGAAAAATATTTGGGTTGGAGCGGGGATTCTGTGTAGTGGTATTAGTTAGGAATCTGCAATACCGACTTGGCTCATTTCCAAACAGCGCTATCTTTCGAGATAACAAAAGGAGATGATGGCTTAAGGGAAGATTTATGCGTGAGACGTTTTGTTGAAATTTTTGCCAAATAAATACTTATTTATTAGTTGGTTTATTTCATATGAAGGAGGGATGAATTTAAAATTGAGCTCAAATTTTGAACCGATTATTACCTTTTATCAATCGTATAAAGTTAGTAAATACGTGAACTGTTTGTGCAGTTTAAAACGCAAAACAAACTCAATTAAATATTTAAAATAAATATGACAGTTTCAGTTAAATTTAGTTTGGTCGAAAATATTTACTATTTACTAATAGACATATTCAACATATTCAACCAGTAATTTTTACAAGAAAAAAAATTCTAAAACGTTCAAGATTAAAAAGGAAAGTGCTAAAATATGAAACAATTATAATTATACATATAGTAATTCCCCAGCGTTTCAGCACGTTTTTCAACCAGAAATGCAATTATTTTGCAAGATTACTTAAGAAAAGCCAAAAGACACTGGTTCTAAGTTGCAATATTT